CTGGTAATATAAAAGTGTTTAGGTCTGTTGATAACACCATTGAAAGTAACAATGATGACAGCAGTGATGACGAACCATTGTCTGACAAAATAAAGAGGAGTCGTCGACATCAGGTGGATCTGCAACCAGTATGGCGCAAATGTGCACCAAGATACTCTTCTACTACTGCTAAGAAAACTGATGTGGTAGATAGACAGAAAATAGTAAAAGAGCAGCTCGGAAATCTCACCCCAGTACAACTATTTGAAAAAAAAAATCGACGAAGAAGTTATTGGACTTATTATAACCAATACAATTTTATATGCTAATCAAAATAATAGACACAATTTTTAATTAGATTCGGTAGATTTGAAAAAGTTTATACGCATATTGATTTTATCTGGATATCATTAATTACCTAGGGAAGATTTGTACTGGTCTTATGATGAAGATGTAGGTGTTGAAATGGTATCACGGTCGATGCCAAGACAAAGCTTCCGGGATATAAAAAAGAACCTTCATTTTGCCAACAATGATTCAAAGTTCGACCACTAGCTAATATTCTTATGAAGAAATTTCTACAATGGGGTGTGATTCATGACAATATTTCAATTGATGAATCGATGGTTAAATATTTCGGCCATCATCCAGCTAAACAATTTATTAGAGGCGGTACGATTCCGGCTATAAAAACTGGATAGCAGCAAGTTCTACGGAGTACTGCTATACTTTCGATTTTTATTGTGGAAAATCCATGGAAGCTTCCACTAACCCCTTAGGGTCCAGAGTAGTCAAAACTTTACTTGCAAAATTGAGCACTGGTCCAACATGTCATGAAGTGTTTTTTGATAACTTTTTTTTACAAATTATAATCTCCTAGTAGAGCTCAAAAACTTAGAATATCGTGCTACTGGAACAATAAGGGAAAATAGAACAAAGAAGTGTCCACTGAGAAGCACTAAACAGATGAAGAAAGAAGATCGTGCCTCATTTGATTACAGGTTTGATAAGCAAAATGAGGTTTTATTAGTGCGATGGAAAAACACTAGTGTTTGTACAATGGCAACTAATTATGACACCGTTGAACCCTTGGGAGTTGTAAAACGATGGTGTCCTGTGCAACGTGAAAAGACTGATGTGAATATACCAAAACTGTTTCAAACATATAATAAAAACATAGGTGGCGTGGACGAGTTAGATCAGTCCATATCTCTTTATAGGATAGCAATTCATGGAAGGAAGTGGTGGTGGGTTTTGTTTACTTATATGATAAATATGGCTATTGCTAATTCCTGGCGTTTTCATGTTATGAGTCACAGTGATAGCATGGATCAGCTTATGTTTCGGTGGTGGTGGTGGTGTTTGCAAGGTATTATTTACGACAGAAAACACAATATAGGGCGCGACCTTCATCTTCTTCAGTACCAGGATTGCCTCAAGATGGTGTAGGACACTATCTTCAAAAGCTTGAAAAACCATTACTATATGCCATTCAAGAGTACGCTGGCAATGCAAAAAATGTTTAAAAACATTATGAGTAAAAAAACAATGCTTTGAAAAATTTCACATATAATACGCCGCTGTACTCAATTGAGTACACCCCCTCCAAAGGGGGCCTAGTAATTAATTTTTTTTTAATCATTTAATGTTTATTTGATATGTAAACAATAGTTAAATAGACATTTTACATTAATAACTTTGGAAATAATAATTATTTGGAATTTAAAACGCTTTGGAAGGCAGAGTTGAGTCCTCGGGCACGACCGTCTTCACCTCCGGCGCCACCGACACCACAGCAGCTACGGAAGCCGGCTTTGGGAATCTCGTAATGAGCTTGCTCAGTTCTTCCATTGAGACAATGCGTGATCTGTCACCGGTCCGGAATTGAGATACAGATGTTACCACTTGAGGTCCACACACTTTTAATGCCGAAATGCTCCCCCCTCGCTGCTCCTAGTGCAGCCTGTCGGCTTCTGGTCAAGAATTCGCGCACAAGAAAATCGGAACCTTTTAACTTAGTTTTGTTCTTTCACGCTAAAGATCTAATGCTTTGACTTGTGAGATGAAGAACAATTGGACGAATGCGCCTCTCAATATAAATGTATGTAGTGTTTTTATATAGTTATTCATATTATATATATTTATTTTTAATGTCCGATCATGATTATTTTCATTGAGCTTTTGCCGTGAGCTTCTCCTCACATACCGCAGACTGAGCCCGAGACGTTGGGTGATGAGCTGAATAAAATATTTGACAGTGCTCCTTAAACCCCGTATTCATGGGAAACATTTGTTGAGCAACAAAGTTGAATCAACGTGTTGCGGAGTTGCTGTCAACATGTTGCTGGCAACACTGCGTGTTGCAGAGGTGACAGCATCATGTTGACAAGCTCTCGCCCGACAAGCGTAAACATCAGTTTAGCGACAATTGTTGACGTGTGTGGACGAGTTTGCAACAGTATATAAACGTGGCAGTAGTGTGGAGCAATGATAAAATAATGCAATTAATAGAATTATTTCAATCAAAACCATTATTATGGGATTGTTCTATAAAACAATACAAAGATAGAAACAAAAAGAACGATGCATTCGAAAAAATTTCTCAAGTCCTAAATATACCCAAAAAAGACGTAGAAACTAAAATACATGTACTGCGTACTCAATTTACTAGAGAGAAAAAAAAGATGTCGGCAAAAAAAACTACAGGCAGCGGCGCAATAGAAAAATGTAAATGGATTTATTACGAGCCATTGGAATTTTTGTTATGTGGTGCAACTACTTCTGGTGAAACGGATACTATGAATAAAACAGTAAGTTGTTTTTGTATATAATTGTTTTATACTATTGTCTGTAAAATTATTACAATTACGCTACATTATTTTGCCATGGAACTCTTCCCTCTGGAGTTATAAAGTAATCGGTAAACTGTTCTCTAATATAAAGAGCTGATTGTGATGCAGGCCTGCCCCGTCTTTGCAAATCAATCATAGGAAACGAACTTAGTTCCCTTCGCCAAGAACCTTCTAATAGGTTACCTTCAGAGTCTTCAAAATCAAAAGTTTGTGGAGGTGTATATATGGATCTGGAAACTGAGTTACGTCTTAAGAAGTTATGTAAATATACACAAGCAATTACCACGAGTTCACAATTGGCTGGTTTTAACGGAATAGGTTTAGTGAATACACGGAACACCACACATAAAATGCCAAAAACATTTTCTATAATCCTCCTAGCTCTTGATAGTCTGTAATTGAATATACGCTTTTTGTTCCCACGTTCATGAATGCCAGGATATGGTTTCATGATGTTCTCCGTTAGCGCGAAAGCACTGTCACCTACAATTACATACGGCATTTCTGTTCCGCCTTGTGTTATTGGTTCAGGCCGTGGCAGTTTAAGTGAGTTTTCTAACAATGCATTATAAAACGGTGTTTCTTGAAATATTCCACTGTCGGACGACCGACCCTTAGCTCCATAATTTGCGTAAATAAAGTTGTAATTGCCATCTGCAATTGCCATAAGTACCATGCTGAACTGATTTTTATAATTGTAGTATTCACTTCCAGAATTATTTGGCGCCACAATCATAACGTGTTTCCCATCAATGGCCCCAATGCAATGTGGAAAATTCCATCGTATTTCGAATTCACGACTTATTTGTTTCCATTCTTGTTCCGAACTTGGAACCTAAAAAATAAATAAATATATAATAAGATAATAATTTACAGGTAGATGAAAACAATGCACTTGAAAATGGTATGGAGTCAGAGCCATCTCAATCACCAAGGCCGAATGCTACAACATCTACATCTTCGAGGAAAAGAAATAAGACAGATGAATCAAATGAAATATTAGAGGTTTTGAAAAGTGCTAAAAAAAAGATGTATGAAAGGGAGAAGAAGGATCCATTTGATATATATGGTGAATATATTGCTGCTGAATTAAGAAGTGTTAAAGATGACCAAGCCGTGACACAGGCAAAGTACCATATTAATAATATACTGTATGAATTAAAAATGGGACGATATAATACATATGGATATCAAACGGCATCTTCTCATCCATCATCAACACCAAATAATGTTCAGGAAACTGAAATAAGGGAAATTGAGAGACACGAAACAAATAGACTAGATGCATTACGAGACGAAACAGAAGATTCGGCTATACTAAACTTAGTTAACTATCTCAGTGATGAATCAACGCAATAGCATACACTGTTTTTTTTTGTGTTTTTTAATTAATAAAATACTTGATTACACAAATAGTGTTCTTGTACCTTGACATATCCTGCTAGTGAGTTAATTAGTTCTTGACATACATCTGGTATAATTTTGCTAATCAGTTGTTTTGATACTCTGAATGTGTATGAAAGAGAACTGTATGAATCTCCAGTTGCAAGATACCGTAATGTAATGTCCAGCCTCGTTTGAGGTGAAACTGGCTGACGAATATTTGTTTCCCTTTTGGCTATTGATGGACCAATCATTTCTAGAAGATGTTCGAAATCACTTTTCGACATTCTCGTAAAGTTACAAAATGATCCATCTGTCATTCTGAGGTCACTCATCAAATTTTCTCTTTCGCAAAAAATAATTTCGAATCCACCATCTTTTTCTCTTTTTTTATTAGAGATTCTATACATCTGATACAGAGAACACAACAACACTACCTCCTCGGGCAACATTTTAACGCAGACTGGCGTGTGGACAACCTATATTGATTTAAACATAGTTGCTAGCAACATTCTCGCCGCTCACCAACAATGTTTAGCAACTGTTGCTAAACAAATGTTTACCATGAATACGGGGCTTTATAGTTTCAACACATGAAATGTAAATGGTCAAGAGTACCCTCTCACTACACAGATTATCTAGAAACCGTTTCTTCTTCTGCTATTCATGCCATTTTAGTTTCATATGCTTGATGAAATACGGTACGGATGAAATCCCCAGAATTTTAGGCCTTGTTTAAAACAATTAATTTCTGTCTTTGTAATAAGACGGCAAAAGTTTATTTAGAGAAAACTACTCTTCCGCTATCGCTGCGGACAAGATAGTGGAGAACATGCAGCAGAGCCAGTGGGCGGCCGAGGTGAAGACTACGGCCGGAAGCAGCTCAGCGACAACCGAGCCAGTAAGCCTAATCTAAGCGCTGTTACTAAAGTAATTTACAAACTTTTCACGTATTCTATCTCCTGGAAGTCCGTCTAAATTTATATTTTCATCATTTCTGTTTTGATTTTGTTGCGTATTATTAAAAAAACATATTTTGTAAGTACTGCGTGTTAGAAGTTTATGCATGACGCTTTTATACCCTTTATAGCTGTAGGTACACTCAATTGCATGGGCTTAAACAATATTCTCCATTTTTGAGCTAGTATTCCAAATGCGTTTTCGACAACGCGTCTAGCTCGGCATAAGCGTTTATTGTATTTTTCCCTGTATCTGTTAGTCCTAGCAACTCTTTTGTTAAATGGTTTCATAAGATAACTTTGCAAACTGAACGTCTCGTCGCCTATTAAAACATAATAGTGAACAGTGGTTTAGCCCCTGGGACATTCATTGTTTTATTATGAAACCTACTTCCCATAATTTCGCCGTGGTCATTTCTGCCATAGCCACCAACATTGATACATAAACAATTGTACCGAGCCCCCACTATTGCCATTAGAATTACTGAAAATTTTTTGAGGTAGCAATAATACATACTTCCTGAATTGGGAGGACAAACTATAGTCACATGTTTTCCATCAATGCTCCCAATACAATTAGAGAATTGCCACATATTATAAAACTTACATGAAGCCCACTACTTCTTCAGTAGCGGGCTTCATGTATATTGGTTGTAATTTATTCCAAATCGTTTCACAAACTTCTTTGACTATTTCTGCGACTGTTGAACAACCCACTCTATAACTATTTGCAATTGTTCGAAATGAATCTCCACTCGCTAAAAATCTGTGGTTGCCCCAGTATGGCATTTTGAATTGACCGCGTAAAATTCTAATAATCGCCCATCGTCTTATTTTAAATTAATAGATAAATTGGCACCTTACTCATTTCTTTTTCCCATCTCCCTCCTGCACATACCTATCTCGCATGCAAGAGTGAGTCGACGAATGTCCACTGGGGACATCTAGCGGATGTTGAAGTTAACATGCTTCTTAGCAAATCAGCACCTTTTGTTAATGGCTGCCGTAAATCGCGCTTTTCGTAATTAATTCGTTTGATAAACAATAACAATAGTTCGAGTGATTCTCATTGTGAAAATAGAAGTGCAAGACTTCCCATTTAGTGTTACCCATAAGAATATCAACTGGCCACGAACCCAAGTTCGGTTTTGGATAGCCGGCTCGATGCGTTCACCTCAGAAGCTTCTGGACTGGCCGTTGATGCAAGGTATTGTGCAACCTTCCTTATTGGTTTCCAAACTATTTCCTTTTGTTTTATTCCACGCTGTTTGAAATCTCCTTTGTTTGATTATCCTTGCTTACTATGTATTTGACTATATGTTTTAACTATATGATGCAATAAAGAGTATAATAAATTATCGTGCCAATTTTAAATTTACAGTCCATTCTAAATTACAAATATTTAGCATCACCCACCCGCGCAACCAATCTGAAAGATTAAGAAAAAGAAAACATTATGGGTAGGCAGTAAATTACTATAGGAAATGTGTGAACCTGTTTATGATTGTTATTGTTTTTGTCGTGGCGTCCAATATTAAATCTATCTTTTCTTTATAAATATTAATATTTAGTTGAAAAACATACGTGACTCCTATAGCCGATAATTAAAAAGTCTTAAGACAACCACAGGTCAGAGCGCCTCACAAAATGCTCGTTATAACAAATGGCAGTGGGCGTCATCAATGGAATTTTTAAGAAATCACATGGTATTCGCTTCAACTGAGAGCAACTTCTCTAGGGAAAATGAAGATGCACCAGAAATCCACGAAAGTAGCAACGATGATCAATGACTACATTCTGATAGAAACGATGTGTCTGGCAGAACTGGTGTAGTGGAATATTATTGTAATTGTTTAGTCGGTCGACGAACTACTGGATGTTGCGCCCATGTAATGACATTGGTGTGGTACCTTGGATGGGCTAGATATGAACAAAATATTTCTGCTCCAGCAGCATTTCTAAATAATGTTGTAACCAGAGACTTAGATTATTTTGACGACAATTAATACAGCCACTCCAATTCAATTGTCTTTTATTTGTCACTCCAGTTTTTTTCATCAAACACAGGTTGCCTATGTAGTGTGTTGGCAAGTGAGCTTTTTACCTTATAAAAGTACTCGTAGAACGCAGGTACCTACGGTCGACGCTCTAATTAAGTCTAATATAGTAGTGAGGTGATTAGGTAATTAAAACATCGTATTACTTATGTAAGTATTTTTTAAGTTAAAGACTGTTGACGATTTCCAGTCCAAAATAAAGCAGTTTTCAAGTCAATCAATCAATCAAATTCAGTCAATGAATATCTAAAAAATGTAGAATCGCTGTAAAATGAGTATTCATACAATCCACTTGGTTGGTATTGGCATTGGCATTTATTTTGAGCAACACCAACACAATTGTTGTTTGATTATTCATATCCGTTTGGCAAGTAAGAACGTTGTCTCCAATTTTTTTGTAAACATAAATCAATCAATTTAGAAATAATCATTTAACTTGATCGAAATATGTTCTCTTTTTACGTGATCTGTCGTGAATAAATTAACAAATTAAATTGCAGATGGTGCAAAAAAAACATCTGAACACTTCAGTGTTGCCAGAGCAAAAAAATATAACAAAATAAAACCCTGCGTTTAAATCGTAAAAATGTCTATAGAATATAATTTTCTTAATTTTTACGTAATGTTTCCATTGCAATCATACTTTATATTTATACATTAACTTTCATTATCAGGTTTTCAAATGTTTGGAAAGTGGACAATGTTCTTTTTGCAGTAGGAACGATCAGAATAAATCGTTTTGGGAAACCGCCACTCATAACTAATAAGAAAGAATAAAAAAAAGAGAGGATTACTGATCAAGTTACGAATAATACCAAGGATGTGGTTGTTATCAAATGGATGGACAACAATGGTGTAGTAGTACTTGCTTCAAATTTTGTTGGAAAAGAAAACCCAAGATCAAGTGCGACAATGGAATAAAATATCTAAAAAATACATTACTATACCGCGTCCTGAAATTGTGCAATATAACAATGGTATGGGTGGTGTAGATAAAGCTGATCATCTGACCAGTTTGTATCGTATCTTCATCAGATCCAAAAAATGGACATTGCGTATGATATTTCACGCCATTGACATAGCACTAACCAATAACTGGCTGGAATACCAAGAAGACTGCAGCGTGTTGCAGAGGCTCTCATAAACATCTAATTCTTACTAGAAAAAAAGGCTGGCCTGCATCTGGTGGTAGCAGTCCAGTAAATTTAACAGTAACACCAAAAACGACGTCGTTTTAGAACTGAAATAAGACCAGCTAGTGAAATCCAGTATGACACTGTCGACCATCTGACAGGATATGATCAAAAGAAAGACGCTACAAGATGTAAAAATCTAGGATATAAAGACGCATGTTTACCTACTGCCTGAAATGTGAAATACATCTGTTTTACTAGTGAGCGAAATTGCTTTCGAGAATTTCATTAAAAACAAGAATAATCCTAACAGTGTAAAATATTAAATAAACCAATAAAATAATATTATTTAGTTTTGCTCACCTGTTTAAAAATAGTACTACAAATCATTTATTTATTAAATACGTTTTAATACAACACTTAAAGCTTGGTGTGATACATATGATACATAACACTATTTATTCTTAGAATGACTACTCCAGCGTAGCCATCCGTTCTATCTTCTGTGATAGTATGATAACCATTAACACTAGAGAACACGCGTGGGCTACATATGTAGCTCAGGGTATTGTTTTTGTTCATATTTTTTTTTTCTTATTATTTTTGTATTATATATTATATTTATGGACTGTAAACTTACTGTTCATTGGTATTTTATTAAAAGATTGCTAAATATGGATCGCAGAATGGAAGAACAACAGATAAAATGGCTATAAGAGGTGTTAGATGAGGATGATTTGATTGAAATCGAACAGGAAGAGGATTTGAGAGAAGAAGAACATATAGATCATTCTCCACACGACACTGATACCGAACAAGAAGATGAGACTGATTAAAATGTCGGGAATGCTGAAAAAAACAACATTGATTCGGACGATAGTATGCCACTCGCAGAATTAGCCACATAATGAGTCACGAAATGAAATGGAATGTAGGAAACGACCATTTCCTACAACAAGGGTACGTTCTCATAACATTATACAAATACCATTAAGACCAAAAGGTACAGCTTCTAATACCAGTACACCCTTTCAATGTTTTGAGTTATTATTTGACCCTAGACATGGGCGTTTTTGGTTTTGAACGCAAACGGATATATATCTGATTTCAGATTTCAAAATCGATTTCAAAATCCGTTTTTAGATATCCGATTTCAGATGTGCCTAACTAAGCCTATTCACTGGTTTGTGTTAAGAATTGGTTTTATTAGCTAACGACAATCACAAACAATTAATTGTAGGAAGCAAGGATACTCGTAGATTTGCGCGATTTTCCTTCTTGCTTTAAATCTAGGCTTAGGACTAGCAGAAAAGTTATATTTACGGTTAAGAGTAAAACTTTTCCGGCGCATTTAAAAATCGGCTTATATACAATGATTTCCTTTTACATTTTTTTTTATTATTTTTCAAACCATTTACAAAATCAAACCTAATTACTTCAGGTTAGCGTTGAAAAATGTAAGTTGCTCGACTTTTGATGATTTTAGACAACACCTCTTTTCAGTGATAAATAATCCCGCCTTAGAGAAGAGCAATATATTTCCGTAAACAACAAACCGAAATCGGACTTCCGAAATTCGCGCCATCTTTTTTACTCCGCTTTGTTACGATTGGTAAGAAAGAGACAAAGCGAATTTTACTGGCGCTCGAAATTGTGAAGAAATTCGCTTTCTCTCTTTCTAACCAACCGCTACATAGCGGAGTAAAAAAAAATAGCACGAATTTCGAATCCGATTTACGTTTGGATACTTGTGGTGGTATTAGATCGCTAGCATTTTGGTT